GCTTCCCCGCCACCGATTTCGGCACACCCCTCACACGTTTCGTGGTTTCATAAGGAGCTCCACCCAAGGCCCCAATGGTGCCGTTCGCATGCGTCCCCGCCACCGATTTCGGCACACCCTTCACACGTTCCGTGGCCCCATAGGGAGCTCCACCTAGGGCCCCAGCTGTGGCGTTCGCATGCGCCCCCGCCACACATGTCGGCACACCCCTCATTTGTGTCGTGGCCCCAAAGGGAGTTTCACCGAGGGCCCCAGTGGTGCCGTTCGCATGCGCCTCCGCCACCCACCCATTTCGGCACAACCCTCACACGTTTCGTGCCCTCACAGGGAGCTCCACCTAGGGCCCCAGTGGTGCCGTTCGGTTGCGTCCCCGCTTCTCATTTCGGCACACCTCTCACACGCTTCGTGTGCTCATAGGGAGCTCCACCCAAAGCCCCATCGGCGACGTTCGCATGCGTCCCCGCCACCAATTTCGCCGCACCGCGCACACGTTTCGCGGCCCCATAGGGAGCTCCACCGATGATGATACAATTGCGGTGTTCACAACTGCATGCGGTTGGGTCCTTCGCCAGGCGAATTTTGTGAAAGGGATGATGGGCTTGCGAGCAGCAGGCAATGTGTTGGCACCCTCCATTCGTCCGTGCAAAGCTGTGCAACGTGATCGCATGGTGCCCGCGCATGATCCTGAGGTTGCCGCAACGTGCGCTTTATATTGCTCCCCCCAACCATCCTGCAGTGCTGGGCCCTCGCTTTGTAGAGACAGCGCCCCGAAGAGACAGCGCCCCGCGTCTCTCACCTCCACCTACTCTACCCCCTCCTCCCTCCCCCCATCCTTGCCTCTGCCCTCCGCATGGCCATGTCGGCACACCTTTCACACGCTGCGTGGCCCCATAGGGAGCTCCACCGACGGCCCCAGTGGCGGTGTTCACATGCGCCCTCCGCGCCCATTCTGGCACACCCCTCCTTATTTTGTGGCCCCATAGGGAGCTCCACCGAAGTCCCCAGTGTCAGTGCTTGCATGTGTCCCCCGAAATCCGGCACATCCTTCACACGTTTCGTGGCCCCATAGGGAACTCCACCAAAGGCCCCAGTGTCGGTGTTCGCATGCGTCCTCCGCGCCAAGTCCGGCACACTCCTCACATTTTTAGTGGCCCCCACATGCGTCCCACGCACCAAATTCGGCACATCCTTCACACGTTTCGTGGTCCCATATTGGGGCTTCACCGAAGGCCCCAGTGGCAGTGCTCGCGTACGTCCACGGCGCCCGTTTCGGTATAGCCCTCGCACGCTCCGTGGCCCCATGGGAAGCTCCACTGAAGGCCTCTGTGGCGGTATTCGCATGCGCTCCCCGCAACCATTTCGGCACAACCCTCACACGTTTCATGGCCCCATCGGGAATTCCACTAAAAGGCTCCAGTCCCAGTGACGGTGTCAGCATGCGTCCCCCGCACCCATATCGGCAGGCCCCTCACACGTTGCGTGGCCGCAAAGGGAGCTCCACCGACGGCCCCAGTGGCAGTGCTCGCACGCGCACTCCGCGCCCATTTCGGCACACACCCCTCACGCTTCTTGGCACCATAAGGGGCTTCACCGAAGGCCCCCATGGCAGTGCTTGCATGCGTCCCCCGCACCCATTTCGGCACACGCATCTCACGTCTCGTGGCCCCCTTGGGGAGCTCCACTGAAGGCACCAGTGGCAGTGTGTTCGTATGCGCCCCCCGCCCCCATTTCGGCACAACCCTCACATATTTAGTGGCCCCATAGGGAGCTCCACCGAAGGTCCCAGTGGCATTGCTCGCATGCGTCCCCCGAAAATTGCTCGCATACGCCCCCCGCGCCCATTTCCGCACATGTGGCCCCGTAGGGAGCCCCCCCGAAACTCCCACTGGCAGTGCGTCCCCCGCACAAACTTCGGCACACACCTCACCCCTTTAAGTAGACCCGCCGAAGGACTCAGTTGCGGTGTTCTAGTGCGTGCGGCCAGCCGCCCACTTCGGCACACCCCTCACACGCTTCGTGGCCCCATAGGGAGCTCCCCCGAAAGCCCCCAGTGGCGGTGTTCGCATGCGTCGCCCCAACACATTTCGGCACCCCCCACGCACGCTTCGTGGCCTCATAGGAGACTCCACCGAAGGCCCCAGTAGTGGTGTTCGCACCCGCCCCCCCCTTCCCTTTCGGCGCAGCCCTCACACGCTTCATGGCCCCATTAGTAACTCCACCAAAGACGATGCTCACAACTGCATGAGTCACAGCTGCACATAGCCGCGTCCTTCGCCTGGCCAATCTGACAGGCACGGTTTGGAGCGTCGGCATTCCACACAGTAGGCAGGCAGTGGGCCAGCCCCTCCGCCGTCCCCGTCAGAAGCCGTGCCGAGTAATTCATCGCGGGCGTCCGCGCCTGGTCCATCTATTAGTACAAGTTATATTTTGTTTTAAGTCGGGCATCTCCCTCCACAGGAGGAACATGCAAGAATAGTCCAAAAATAGTCTGGGGACGATTTTTTGATTTGTTTTTGACTACTTTGGGGTATGTTTCGACGATTGTCGATGTTTCACCCAATATCCCCCTGTAGG